CATACATACGATACGTATCTACGATTCATACACACCATACATATATGACTCACGCGATCCCCTAGGATTCATACGATCGACGCGACTCATCTCATTCACTTGCGTGCGTGACTTGACTCGTTCGATTCACACCTCACTCGATCCTCTCAGCGATCCATTCTAGATTTCATAGTTCGTCGATCCTCGATMAGAGCWTCGACTCACTTTTCTACTAGCACAMACTTTACATCTCTTTTAGGACAGTCACTCCCACAAGATATCATTCAGATAAACAAATGAAAAAACAATGCAAGCAAGATATAATCGGGGGTAACTATCATAATACTAGAGGGTCTTTTACCGTGCGATTAGTGCAACACCATAAAAACAGTTTATCATGGTGTGACGAAGCTTTCTTGTCAAGGGGAGCTTACTGATCACCACTTGCGACCAAGAAAAGATAGACTTCGACAATAGTAATACCAATACTAGTACTACTAGTAGTTAGTAGTGCTGTATTGGTACCAATACTAGTAGTAGTAGTAATAGTAATAGTCTTAAATATGAATGGTGACACAATAGTTGTAGTACTTGTGGTACTTCTTGTAGTACTTATTGTACATAATAGGGCCATTACATACTGGACAATTATTACTGGAAAAATTGAGTACTGCAAAGTGTACAATTATACCTGGACGGAGGTAGTACGTACAAGTATTATTCACAGCTTATGGGCTATTCATCTTATGGGACCAATGTTCAAAGCTTCGATTGTCGTCGAACCGCGTTTCTTTTCTCTGTTTTATCATTACTCGTACTCGTTTCAATAAAAATAATAGCCTTTCATCCCATATTGCACCACTAGTTAGCAATCAATTAAGGCGCTCACTAGTGAAAAGTAGTACGAAGTAGAACGAACAGTTCGTTCAGTGATACTTACAGTGATGACGGTACATGGTAGTTTTTTGTTAATAGTCGCTATTTCTGAGATGCGGTTCGTAGAGGTTCTCTAGATATACGTACGTCCGAACTTCTTGAAGCAAGAGGAATCTGCACCAACAACTTTTAGAACAAGAAGCATTTTTCAAACAGGTCTTGCGATTTCTACCGGAGAAGAGCTGGAACACGGTATTCCAAAAATGTTAACCCAGACAACTTGATTAAACCGTTCACCACGTCCTTCAAACAGGTACAAGTATTAATACATAGTGACTAGTGATATTATAGAGTATGTGATAGCACTTGTACTGTAGGATTACAGGCTTTCGTATCGGAAGAAAGTAAAATAAGTAAAAAAATAAAAGGTAGTAACAGCGTTTATTGGTTCGATTATCGCTACGAGGAAGCTGCAGACAGGCACAACCCCAGTATATATATCCCTGTTGAGGTTCTTCGCGTTCGCGTTGTAATGACCAGTTGCCTTCCTGTCCTATATCCTGGTGAGCTTGGTGGGTAGGAATGATCTCGAACGACTATCGAGGTGGGGCTCCAACCGTTCCTCAAGTGATTGACGAGATCCATCCGAATCCAACCCCATGTCCGATAGTCGATGTCTAAGATATTCAACCTTATAGTAGAATTTGCCACCATTGGCATTGTTGCTGGATTCTAAGTTGTCGGGTGATTCATTGTAGTGAATCTTGTGGCAGCCCTCTTTCTCGTAGAGAAAAAGTTCGTTTTGTAGTCGTTTCCAGTCTGCACTGCTAGAAGCGCGAGAAAGCTTGCAGCCACTTTGATCTTCGCTCTTCTTCAATGACACAGCAATGAGTTTGTCCATAGCTTTTTCTTTGAGAAACGCACAGTTGTGTTCGTCGGCCCACTTCAGAAGTTCTTCTGCCGTGAACGCGAACAAGCATTCATCGTAAAGCTTTGCTTCGATGGCTTGTTTAGCAGAGACACAACCGAACTGCTCCGCGAGCAGAAATACCCCCTGAAGATTGTTCATCAAAGAATCTTCGGATTGCGGCGTGTCTTGCCTTGTCGTGAAAATAGGGTCTCCCGAAACAAAAACATCATCGAAACACTCCGATAACTCGGTTTCTTCGTCAGAATCAAAGACCAGCCGGGTTCCTTCCAGGACGTTTTCACCGTCCACCAACCATGCATCTTCAACGTTCTCGCCTCCGATCTGTTCGTCGTGTATTCCCAGCTTAATTTCCTTCGTGTACAAGTATTCCATTATCACTTGAAAGTAAGAGGAATTTATGTCGTTCGGCAGCCTGACCACAGTTATTCCAGATGGTGATGACCAAGCTAGTTGCGTTTGGTCTTGTCGTTGGTCTTGGTCGTGAGCTGGATTTTGGGATCCGGTTCGTCGTTTCTTGACCTTCCGTTCCAAGCTTCCATCCCTCGACAAAATGTCCAAGAGAGGTCGGGATTCCTTCAAAAGCATCTTTGTGTGACAGGGAAACTCTGCCCCCTGCACTATAAAGAGAGCATCCGGGGGAGAACTCGTTATAGGAACCTCTTCTTCATCTTGTTCTGTATCGCTCTCGTCTTCATAAGTACTTTCTCCCGATATGGAACACGTCGTAGAAGCCGTAGAGACAGAAACATAATCCGATTTGTTGGACTTGGGAATTTTCGTTTCCGCCAAGGTGGCTTCGTGGTCGTTTTGGAGATGAAGAGGGCCCTTGCTATCTACTACACGAAGAGCTTTGCGAAGTGCTACTGTCGAATAGCAAACATTGCTGCTGGTATCTATCGGATTGTTTTCATTGACTATGCCGAAATAGGGTGTCGGTTGAATGGCCGAGGCATCTCGTTTGAGAGTAACTAGGGAAATCTCGCGGTGATATTCTAGCTCTTGTCCGTCGCGCTCTAGAGCTTCAAGATCGAAAAGCGTTGATGGAATGATCGGTGGCTCTTCCGGTGATTTCATATTCGCGCTATGGCTGCTCGTGTTGTCAGAGTGACCACCTTCACTGGAAATCATGATGGAGTGTTGAAAGGTAAAATCCAATGTGTGAAACTGATAGGATTGCCGCCACCGCGTGATGTTTCAGATATTAGTGTGGCGTGAGTTTTCTCGCACAAAATCGGTGTGAAGTAATTAGTTTAGTAATACASTRTGCTGTACCGTACCGTAGGGTACGAACTGTATTCTTTATTTATGTTTCCCGACGCGACTTCGACATTCAGTAGTGGTACCGGTACTCTAGCGCTAGTACGAGTACTCGACTCCTCATGAACTATTGTAAATAGGAAGTACGTAGTATAGGTTTGGTCCTTCGAGAAATTGTTTTGAAGACAAGCAGTAGGTTCAGTCGTAGCTGCAGAATTTAGTTTCTGGCCAAGTTACTTAAGTAGTCGTTTTTCGAATCGGTTCGACGCAATTCATGTAGCTCATTTTTCTCTTAATGTGATCTTCGGATGAGTCATTTTTTACTACAACCTTTTGCCTTATATACATTTTTAGATTTATAAGTAAACTTTCGATTGATTTTTGTAATTATTGTAATTGGATGTCAGCGTTAAATAAGAAGAAGTCATCCAAGAAGAACCAAAATCCGATTGTATAATAATCAGCTGGTTTCATATTTCACTTGAAGGGGTTCAGAAATTATTCAATTTCTTGATGATTGTCCGGGAAGATTCCACGAAGAATAGACCTGAAAATAGTTCTCGATGAAATTAAAGTTGTTTGTTAAATGAAAATTATTGTTCAATCTAAAGCTAGTAGAGTTTTATAAGTGACCGAATTGAAAAGAACCGTAGGTACTGTACGTTTGTTTCTTTGGGGTGATTCCCGTTAATCTAGAATGACTAGATTTGATGGACGGACAGACGATGTCTAGATTGACCAAATCTAGTCAGTTTTTAGAGACCCTCTGACCCCCTTTCAAAACTGACTAGAATTAGAGAAGAATCCAGGAATAAAAATTTTGAGTCCTTTGAAAGACTCAACAGAAATGCCTGCCAAATTTAAGATTCAGACAGCCTTAACAAAAGAACAATGAGCACCTCCACTAAGAATGGGGCCAGCACACCACACCACAAAAAAAATCAGCAGAACAGTGCTCTTAGTAGTAGTCACTACATTTTATCTCTTCTCTCTGCGGTTAGAGAAAGAGCAGGGCAAGGACACGTCCAGCACCCCTCTTGGCATATACTTTATCTCCAACAGTATGGATCCACCACAGCAGCAGGAGGAGGCAATAACGCCAGCACCACCAGTTCGTCCACCAAGTGAGGTTGGTGGCAGCAACAACATGAAGAAGGATGGTCAAAAGTTTGGTTCAGCAAACTACTACTCTGATGGTGAGCTAGAGTTCCTCTTCTGGTTGATATATGTTGTGTCCATTGCTCCAGAACACTGGGAGACAGTACTGGTCTGTCAGCATGCAAAAGCGTGGCCCTTTTGCAGGATTAATAATTCCGTCAAGAACAAATCCAATTGAATCAACAAGATGAAGAGCTCCACTGGTGAGCCTGGTATGAAGGAGTATGTGAAGCTTGCAAGGCTTGCCCATCACTTCATTCAAGATAGATCATATCTTGGTGATGCAGAGGAGACCTTTGATATGGACCAAGGCTTCATTAAAAGTGAGGCTGTGGAGGTTTTAGTAGTAGTAGGACCCACCAGCAATCAAGCAGTTGATATAGATGATAATGGAGCAACACAAACTGGAGCAACATAACCTCCAGTAGTACCAACAACAGTGACAACAGTGCCTTCAACCCTTGAGTCTGCAGCACCCCTTAAAAAGATCCAATTGTATGTCAAGGGAGGAAGAACAACCCAATAGCAGGAGCAGAGTGACATAAATATGATGTTTCCTACATTCCTTGAAACCCAAAGGAAGAGTGAGGAGGCCAGGATGTTGGAGCTGTAACCTCAAAAGAAAGAGCAAAAAGGAAAGAGTTAGAGTAGCTAGCAGAGGAGAGAGGAGGCAAGGGAAAGAAGAGAGAACAAAAAAGCAATGTACAATGGGATCGTTACCTTTGCACAGACACTCACAACAGCTACTATTGCCCCTGCAATTAGTTCCAGTCTCATGATTCCGCCAGCAGGGGGAGATGCAGGTTCTCTTTATGTACATGTCAATCAATGACAGCCATTGTACAAGGCAAACCCTCATCATGGGATTCAACACATGCTATTATAGCAAACACAGCAATCCCATTTTCAAAAAGAAACACAACAGCTCAACGCCTTGCTGCTTCAGCAGTCTCCTCCTCCTTAAACAGCATCTCTCCTCTAAAATTATTAACACTAAATGTGGAACCAAACAACCCTAATGAAAACTAATCCAAATATTGAATCAACCATGGTGGGAGTCTGCTAACTGGTGGTGTGTGGCTTGGTGTATTGATTCAGCATATTGCCATCTCAATTTGGCGTGTGGATACAGCATATCAATTTTCCATATCAATTTGGTGTATCAATGTATCCATTTTCCAATCTATTGTTTAGCAATCTAACATATTGATTTGCTTCCAAACCATTTCACCATTGGAATTCTCATCAAAATAGCTCATTTCCATTGGACGACAACAAAGTCCAGGGGTTAAAATACCCAGCCTCAAGTGCTGTCTTTACATAAGGCAACTGAATTGATGCAAGGGTTGCCACTGGCCTCTTTGTGAAGACTGTTAGAATGTGGTTAAGCCCAACCTTACTGAATTGGTAGTTTTACAACTTGACCAGCTAATACTAGTGGATGATGATCCTCCTATCTCCAAGATCATCAAACTGCAGTCGGTCTTTCATCCTTGGGAAGTGTCCCTGGAGCATCCTCACTCCCCACTCTGACATCTGTCCTAATAAGGTGGCATCCCTGTTGAGTAGTAGTGCATCTGCTTGTTCAGGGGTCTATCTGTGAGCTCTTGAGGAGGAGATGCTCCCTATCCTTCTAGTAGGCAAAGGCTGAACCAACAACAACAAGAATCTTGGCACCACCACAAGTATTATGAACTTTCTCTACTTTGTCATATACACCATTGTCAGCAATGTAGCTGTCATGCCACCAAGTGCCAGGATAGTTGGGGGTATGCTTTTGTTGTCCTTTTGTTTCTTCTGCAAGGCCTTTTGCCCAGCCTCTTGTTGGATCATCCAATACATCACAACAGTTTTAAGTAGACCTCTTGTGTAGAAGTTGTTTTTACCAGCACAAAACTATGGTCAAATAATGAGGATAGTGAGAGTAATGCAGCATCCTCTGGAGTATAATTAATACCAGTGAAAAGTTCATGTTTTTGTCAGTACCAAAGTGACACGTGCACCAATGTCCTCTTTTCAGACTTTCTGTTGAACTGTATGCATATTAACACAGCCAGATTCCATCTTGTCTAGTTTTTTGGGTATTTTTAGTATGATTTCCAGCTCGGAAATGTTGGAGCGTTGCTCCAAATTTGGAGCTTGGATATGTTGGAGCAAGCAACAAAATTGACAATAAAATTGAGCCAGATTTCATCACTCTGTGTTATTTGTACATGTTTTGACTGTGATTTCTCACTTGATCCATTGATTGAGGTTTTTCTCCATACCATATGTTCGTACCATGGGTAGCAATACTTCACTGTGACCTTAACCTTTAGTAGCTACTACCACTACTACTACTACTACTACTACTACTACTACTACTACTACTAC